TCTACTTCTTAATGCTGTTTTAGCTTACCAAGCCAGATGTAACAAACATTAAGGATACACATGTTTAGGTTAAAACAAATTGTGAACTCTCAAGTATATAGAATCTTCTAATTGTCATTTCCTCCTGGGTTCAGTTGTGTCAAATGATTCTGCTCCTAATCGGGAATGTCAGATTTCATTATCTAGTGAGGAATTTTTTATGAGTCAGAGTCATTTATTAATGTGTGTGTTCAAGTGAAAATCGTGTTACTTGATTCATAGGGATATGGAAGCTGACTGGAATTCTGATGGAGAGAGGAGATGGTTGCCTTCCTGTTAGGAGGCCCGGTGCTTTGCTCCCGGAAACTCTCCAGTTAAAGCCATGGCCCAAGGCTGCTTACATTGGCATCTGGACGGAAATTTCCAATTATGTAAACCTGAATGGGGCTTATTTTTCTCAGCTAAGTTATGATCATAAGAGATGCCTCAATCTAGAAACAGGGGCTGGATAATAATTACCATTTCTCGTGAAAGTGTAAAAAAGCTACTGGTAAGCCTGAATTGGTAGTAAATGTTATTTTAGCATTTATCACACTGCATTATACCTTCTTATTTAATTGTGTCTGTACCTTATTCTGTGTTGTCCTGCTCATCCTTGGCCCACAGTGGCCTAGAATTGTGTGTAAAAAAAATAAAAAGCACACAGGAAAGTAGGGGCTCAGTAGGTACTTGTTGACACAATTAAGGATTTAACAACCATATGCCAATTAAAATTTTTTTTTTCTGTGATTCAGCTACAGTTGATCAGGAACACATTATTGGAAAGTACCGTTTTTCAAAGGAACGTTCATCAAAGTGGTATGGAACACCTAACCTCACCTCTCTCTGTTTTTGACTTCACTAACCATGTGACCTTAGGTAAATGACTTCTGGAGGACTTTACATCTTTATCTTAAATAGGAAATCAAGATGATATCTACTTCACAAAGATGTGACTTTTAAATGAGATCATTTAGATTGAAAGCAGCGCACATATACACTTCCTAGTTTAGGCCAGAACCATGGGCTAAATTTAGTAACAGACTTTTAATAGGGACACTTGTAAAGGTCCTACAGTTTGATCTCTATAACCAACTGCATGAGCACAGAACAGAGGAAGTGTAGCTTAGCAGCTAAAAAGATTGAGTACTTTGCCTCTAGCAAGCTTAATGTGAATCAGTAATATGGTGTGACTGCTATTTACTAACAACACTCAGCAATTATCGATCGATTATCTACCATGTAATGGAAGTTTTAAATTCTATTAATAAAAATACCCAAAACAGAATTGCCCAAAGTGAGTTCTGCAGAGAATCACTTGATGCTACTAGTTATATTATGTGGGGGTAAAGGGGCTGGTTTGGGAAATGGTGGATTAGATTATTCAGCCTCTCCCCTGTAGGATTTCTTTGGCCTTGAGTTATTGTGCATTTGCATCTCCAAGAGGAGGCTTTAGTTGACAGCGCTTTGGTAACAGATGGAATAGGGCTGCTGGTAGTTCTGCTTGTTTCTGGGCCCATCAGACTGCACCTGGACCACTGTCAGCCTGGGCACCACTCTTTGTCAAAGTGTAGACCACTGGGCGGGTATTCAGAGGACAGCAGCCAGGATGGGGAGGGAAGGTGTGGTGATGGCAAGGGCAGGGGGCTCACAGAGGAAGTGGGGCTATCTAGCATGGGGTTGCAGGAGGAGGTTAGGTGGGGTAGAGGTGAGGGTGGGGGGAGGTTGAAAATGCCTGTCTTCCAATATCTGAAGTGTGGGAAAGGGACTTTACTGTTCTGTCAAGGGGCAGGATGAGAACCAGTGGGTAAAAGTGGCTGGAAAACATTTTGGACCCAACCCAAAGTAGAATTTTCTTTGAAGATGGCTTTATTTTACTTACTGATTCTGTGTTCTTGGAAGGCATAGTTTTTGGGTGGTGTATGAGGAGGTATTGAAAAGTGTTCTTTAAAATCCCATCCAACCCTGAGTCTGTGAATTTGTGATTATTTTCTTTTGTTTGGCAAAATTTATGTCTTCAGCCTTTTGTTTTTTCAGCCTTGTGCTAATTCCTGTGGATAATTAGAAAAAGCATTGATAATACGTGGTTTGTGTAAATTTGTTAATTGAATGACAAGACTAACACACGAGACAGTTGTTAGCAAACTAAGACAAAATGTAAACAAAAGGCAAAATTTTGACAATCTTTAACAGTACCACAGAAATTCTAGAAGGGGAAGACTGGAGAATTATATAAACTGGGGTTTGAAGGATTAATGAGATTTGGATGGCAGAAAGGAGAGCAGAAGCATTGCAGATCAACAGAAGCCCAGGCATGCAGGCAAGAGACGTAGAAGGCTTTTGAGGAGCAGTGTGGCTAAATCTGTAATTAAGAAAGATCCACCAGGCTTCCCTGGTGGCGCAGAGTCCGCCTGCCGATGCAGGGGACGCGGGTTCGTGCCCCGGTCCGGGAAGATCCCACCTGCCGCGGAGTGGCTAGGCCCGTGAGCCATGGCCGCTGAGCCTGTGGGTCCGGAGCCTGTGCTCCGCAATGGGAGAGGCCTCAACAGTGAGAGGCCCACGTACCGCAAAAAAAAAAAAAAAAAAAGAAATCTCCTTAAGAGCAATCATTTAAGTCATGTGGGTGTGTGAAATCTTTGAGGGACAGGTTGTGGCTAGAATATGGATGAGCAAGTTCTTAAGTTCAGTGGTTAGAGCGTAGGTCCACCTGGTTCAAATCCATCCCTCAGTGACCTTGGTGAAGCAAGGTGGAGACACTGAAGCCTAGAAGTTGACTCTAAGTTGGATGGTATTACTTGCCTCTTAGGTTATGAGGATTAAACAAGATAAAGAATTAGGTAATTAAGTGCTCAATAAATGTTACTCACTATTATTTATTAGGTAGCTGAAGTCTCCCTAGAGCCTTGGTTCTGGAAGTGTGGTCCTCTGACCAGCCACACTGGTATCACCTGTGAGCTTGTTACAAGTGCAAATTCATGGGCCCCACTCAGACTTACTGAATCAGGGTCTCTGCGGGTGGGAGGCGTAGAAGCAGGCTTCAGAAAGCTCTCCAGGCAATAGGCAGGAAAAGGTTTGAGAACTGCCCTAGAGGAATCCTACAGAACTAAGAAAGGGAGGGAATTTTTAAAAGAGGGGCTAACAACATTGCCCTTTACAGTGTAGAAGATAAAAAGCTCAGAGAAGATGAAATTCGGGAGAAAAGAGGTAGTGTATTTTTTGCAGTGCCTGACAGCTTTACACACAATGTTCAATAAATATTTGTTTCTATGTTATTGAAGACAACTGGTTTAAGTAGTATGTTGGGGATAGAAGGAAGATTTAATATAATATGTATAATATACATAAGTCTAAGTGATTAAAAAATATAGTACAGAACCATATTAGAAATATGATATTGGAAGAAGTTTAAATCTTAGGCTTAACTACCTACCTACCTACTATGACCGGGCACAGTGCTCTCTGCTGTAAATAGAAAATGAGAATGAGATGCTACTGTTGTTTTCAGAGGCTTCACAGCATGGTACTTTCTTTAAGGATTTGAAGCTAATTTTTTTTCCTGTAACTTTTTCTTGCTACAGAGAGTAAACACTGTATCTGATCTATTCTCAGCCAGGAGTTAAGCATGCAGTTGTCTTCCAGTCACAGCCGGGCCTAATCTGAAACTGCTCCCTCATTTCTAAAAGCATTCTGAACATTGATTTCTTTTGTTAATTATTTTACGGCTCTGGATTTATCTTAGAGATGATTAGAAATCTTTTGAAAGAGTTTATGTCCCCGTTTAATGTGGGCCACCTGATGTTTTCCACATTGAGAATTGTGCCATTTGATTTGTCCCTGTCCCCACCCCCATCACAAGTACAAGCACCACACACAATAGCTTGAAATAAAGTAAATAGACTTCTAAGCTTCATCCATTTAGTCGTTATTTACTGCCCATTATGTGCAGGACACTGTGATAATAATGATGAGACAGTGTCCACAAAATATGTCTTGCTGAAGAACCAGGACCACCCGAGGCTGTGTGTATTGAGTCTGGAGGAGTGGCCCAGCCTCTCTGCTGCATACCTGCCTGGGGCCTGGTTAGAGGTCAGTCAAGTGTTCAGATGATCCCTAGCACACGCCAGAGTTTAGACTTATAAATGTGCCACCCCTGAGATTGCTTTCCAAAGATGACGATGATTGGGCAGTTAATATGGTTAAGAATATGGGGTTTTTTTTGTTTCGCTTTGTTTTTATTGAGATATAACTTGCATATAACATTATTTTAGTTTCAGGTGCACAACATAATGATTGGATATTTGTATGTATCATGAAGGGAATATGTTTTAACTGACACCTGGACCAAGCCCCCTGCTCCTTTCCCATTGCTTTGAACTTTGGGGCTGAGGTGGGTGGGTAGTGAGGACTGCTAACATTCTTTCGTTATTTTCTTCTTCTCTCCAAATAAAGCAAAGAAAAAGAGCTGGAACCTTCATCACCACTTTCGAAAGATAGCCAGGACCAGACCTACATCTAAGTGTTTCCAGAAGGCAGGGCAATTGGTGGTTTCCTTTCTCTGAGAATAGCGATTGAGTATTGAGAATGTGAACTTAAAGAGAGCGGAGATCTTTTTCAGAATGTTTTAACTGATCCATAAAGGTCTTTCTGATCATAATGGTGCTAGAATACAGCTTGGGTATTTGAAGACCAGGTAGAATATAATTTTTTTTTCATTTATGGTTTTTCTAAAACTGCTGAATATGGACAGAAATACCCCTAAGTTCTACTAGCTACCCAAGGAATATTGGTGTCCTGAAAACATAGAACCCAGTATGGAAAATAGAAGTTACAGCATTTGTAGGGTTTTAGAACTGAAAGAGGTTTCAAAAAGAAAAGGGGATAAAAAAGAAAGAAACCCAAAGTTATGTGGGGTTTTCTGTGTGTTTTACATTACTGATTGCTTTTGAATTAACCTCTTTTCCCTCCCCGTCTGTTTCCTGCAGTGAACACCTACCTCTTCATGATGCAGGCTCAAGGCATTCTCATCCGGGACAACATGAGAACGATCGGCGCTCAGGTTTACGAGCAGGTGGTTCGGAGCGCTTATGCCAAGAGGAACAGCAGCGTGAATGACTCAGGTATATTTTTAGTAAAGAGGTGGTCTGCTCAGAGGGCCTCCTCCCAGGAGTTCAGCTAAGCGGTAATGATGGACCCAGGAGTGAACATTTCTGCCTCAGTCTTTGGAGCTTTTACCTGTAACTTTTATTATCTTATAAGCACTAAGTATATAAAGAGGGGAAAAGAACATCGAGGTTAGATGGCTTTGCCCGACATTATATTGTAAGAACTTGTTCCCGAATCGTAGTTTTCACTTTAACTACTTTTACAAAAGACTGTACATAGCAAGTTCTTCACCTTTGAGAGGAGGCTGTCTTTTTTATGTCTCTCTTTTTAACTCTTCCAAAAGTTGAACAGAGGAAGTATTTCCAGATGGTTAAATGGGTCTGTTGTGAAGCCTCTCCAGTCTCCAGCCAGGGATGGTTTTTATTTAGAAAACAGATTCTGAGATTTCATTTTGCTTCGCATTCATGATTTGCCACTTATTGCTTTAACTGAGGACTAATGTGCTTCCCCTGTGGCTTCTTAGTGATTTCACTCAAGCCTAGTATTATAAAATATGTATATTTTTTAAAATATTCTTTCCTCCAAATCAATCCTTTTTTCTTCTCGAGTAAGTTCTAAGATTGTCCAGAGCTCACCGTAGAATGTGAAATTGCTTTGCAACCGTTGCAAGTGAGAATTATTCTGGGGTGTTGGGATATCAAGAGAAAGCATTGCCTCTGAAAGGGAAGTTAAATCCTGAGAGGAACTGACCACGCCCTAATTTATCAGTCTGTCCTGCTGGCCAGTTTAGCAGCAACCAAGCACTACAGTTAGCAAACCCATAAGCTTTGGTACTTACTTCCTTTCTTCTTGTTCGCAAAGAGCGAACGATCAACTTTTCAGAGCTTTTCAGCCAAATTGTGGCCTCACGGGACAAACTGCCTGAGCTCTGTACCGTACCTGGAAGAGGAGTCCCTGCAGCTCCTGAAGTCAAGGGAGGAGGCCAAGCAGATTTTTGTTTCCTAATTCATCCTGTGTGGTGTTCAGTTTTAACAGATGATCCCACACACATTGTCACACTTGACTCGGATATGGCTCCATCGGGTAGGCAGGATTTTGTTACTTCCGTTTTTCACATGAACAGGTAATCTTGGGGGTGTTGGAGTGGCTTGGTCATGTGACTTTCCCTAAACCCCGCCCGAACCTGCTTCTAGTTGGGTGATAAAACTCGGGAATACTTTGACCGCCATTCAGAGCTCTTTCCCCTGTATCACTCCAGATAAAGGAGCATGTGTGCTGTCATGACCTTTACCCAGTCCACGTGTTCATGCCTCTTCTAGGTTAGAGGTTGCTGGGGCTTCTCTCTGGGCCATTGGCGAGGTAGCCTGTTTTCTCTCAAAGTTAGAGGGTGCGCAGCAGGTCTCCATCCCTGCACCACTGCTGGTCTTGCAACACAGGTCATGCTAATTCCCTGAGGGGTTATTGTCCCTGGAAGTTGAGCAGAGAGTGAGTTGCACCCTTGGAAGTCCTATCCAGGGACCCATTGTTACTTGAATTTGCATGTGTTTATCCTCAAATTATCATACACTAAAGTAATTCTTCCCAGCATCCCTCTGGTTGGACTAGTTAATCATCCATTGTGTGCTTAATGTGTCTCTCTTCCTCATAAATCGGAAGTCTTTGCTGTCGGGGCCTGCTTATGGTGGGGTAGATGATTTTTTTTTTTTTTAACTTGGAATCTTTATTCTTTATGATTTTGTAATAGCTTATCCTTAGTTTGGTTAAGCAAACTCTAATTTGGCTATGAGAACTCTTTCAAATTTGCTAAAGGAACTATGATGATAAAATTATACAACAAGTTGGGAAAAATACCCGTGAAATAACACAACTTTTTATAAAATTGTCAGGTTTCAATTCCAGTAACCCATAAGACAGGGCCTAAAGCCAATTCATAGTCACATCATTCCAGAATGAGGGGCTATTGCCAGAAACTTTTTATGGGGTGGGAAAAGGAATAAAAGATGGTCAGTGCTGATAAATACAGGTTTAATGATACAGTGCTCTCCACAGACAGCTACAGAGACTATAAACTATTATCCAGAAACTTACAACCATACAACACAGATCACTTAGCCAGATCTAAAATAAACTGGCTTCTTGTAAATACTACAGCCCTTCTTCCATCCAAAAATGACCCTAATCTCACATGAAAACAGTTACTGTAGGGGAATCAGAAACCCAGCTTTGTGGCCCAAAGTAAAAACCACAGGAAAAATAGCGGTTCAGTGGCTAGCTGGTGAAAACGGGAGATCTGGTGCCCTTCACTGCGCTGCTTTGCTCTTCTTACTCCTTTTGTCCCCCTTCTCCAGCCCTCCCATGTTAGCTCTCAGTAGGCTGATGCCTGCCCCCACCCCCGACCCCCAGAGGGTCTTATTTAATTAGTCTGGGGTATATCCTGGGCATAAGGATTTTTAAAAAGCTTCCTAGATGATTCTAGTATGCAGCCAAGGCTGCTGAACCACTGATGTAAAGCAAAGTTGACCGAGCAGGCCGTTTGGATCTGCAGGTAGGAAGGATGTCTGTTGTGGTCCCATGTTATAAATGTAAGAGCAGCTGCCTTCTTTGCCGTCTACCTCCCTTGCTGGAAGAACATGTCCTGATTCGAAATGGATTACAAGCCATCTGAAACTGAATCATTTCTTCGGAGCTCACCACTGTGCTGATCTTCCTTTTCCCATCAGTAGCTCTTAACGGACACTTGTCATCTGAGGGCTCAAAGCCCTCCACAGAATCCTTCCTTGGAACGGCTTTATTAGTTCTATCATCATCTGCTCGCTCTCCAGCGGCACCATCCTGGCGCTGCTGGCTCCGCTCCGTCAGCATAAACGCCCTGGGGTAGATGATTTGCTTGCATTATCTCATAGGCTCCTCACAAGAACTCAGTAAGATAACGACTGTGTCCCCCTTTCAGGGATGAAGGGGTCGGAGTTATAGGATTCTCTGCAGCAGTGGGGTTGGGACTTGCTGACCTCTGAACCCCAGCAGCGCTCCTCATTGCCTGTGTTGCCTTTGTACTACCCCTGGTACCTGGTACACTGCCTAGCACATAGGAGGCATAGAGTAAATGATGTTTGAGTGTGTGAGTGGATAGATTTAACAAGAAAACACATTTTAAGTGTTGTAACCTAGTTCTGAGATTACCATCTTGATTGGCTTTTATTTTATTGGCACATCCTTGGTGAGTAAGTGTTGAAGAGGAAACATCATTTCATTGGAAGTTATCCAGTAGAAACCAACTATTTTTATTCATTTCAAAGTAATTTTCTGCCTAGCACAGTCAGAAAGAGCATTTGGGGCCTAAAGCTGCTGAGATAGCCAGATGACCACCACCGCTGACCCCGGCCACTCCCGCCAGGAGCACCGTGGGTTTGGTAAGAGTAGCCTGGACTGAGGTAGTTCATGAACTGTGTTGCCCCGCTCTGGAAAAGAAGTGCTGTGGCACACACCCATGTTCAAAGGCCTTCAGGAGGCCAAGGGTAGCTAAAAAGCTAGTGTGTCGTTTAAGTAATGCTAGCTTTCTTTATCCTTGAAAGCTAAAATGGCTACTGCCTAAAAAGAAAGTACTTTGAGGGACCAGGACTGTGACCTGGAATTAAGCCTGAAATAATGACCTGGAGAAACTTCTTGTCACTGAAAGCCTTTGGTATGTGAAATTGTGAGTCCTGTAAAATTTACCCAGAGCACCGGGGGGAGACGCTCAAGAGAATATTGGCATCAGGAGAGAATCCCTGGATTCATCCAGTCCAGCCACTTAGTTGTATATTTGAGGTGAGTGGTTGGGTGGCCTGGCGTTTCTCATTCTTAAGTACGAATTTCCAGGTGTCATTCTATGCAGTCACTTTTACCCAGAGGGAGATTTCTTCCCTCTGTATTCACGTGCACATGCACACAAACCTCCCTGTGCTGATGGCCTCAGTCCCCTTCTGGTCACATACTCAGGAAAGTATCCTGTTGCCCACATCCTTCAAAACAGGTCTGTTGTCGTAGACAAATAAAATGAACAGTCACTGCCAGTACGTTTCATACTTTATTCCGTGAGGTCGATGTTCTTTCTTAACCTCTTTCTCTCTGGTTTTTGCCTGCTCAGCCCATAGTTGTCTTTTCGTCTCCTCTCCCAGCAGGTGGTCAGCCTTAAGCGAGCTAACTCTCGAAGAATGCAAATTCTTTATATTTTACAAATGCTTGTCCTGATGGCATCTTTCTGATATATATATATTTCCACTTTTTTTCAGTCAGAGAGGCAAGGGTTTGGCCTTTTCTCAAATGGGAGGAGAAAGTAGTGATTCTTCCTGGCGTCTGTTAGTCAGCACTTTTCAGTCCCCGCTCAGCTGGATTTGGTAATTTGAGGGAGAAAGCAGAATTTTCCCACCACCGTGGACTGGGGTAGCTGTGTCAACCTGGAAGCACACTGGACTCCCCTGGGCAGCTTTACAAGATGCTGATGCCTGCCCCCACCCCCGACCCCCAGAGGGTCTTATTTAATTAGTCTGGGGTATATCCTGGGCATAAGGATTTTTAAAAAGCTTCCTAGATGATTCTAGTATGCAGCCAAGGCTGCTGAACCGCTGATGTAAAGCAAAGTTGACCGAGCAGGCCATTTGGATCTGCAGGTAGGAAGGATGTCTGTTGTGGTCCCATGTTATAAATGTAAGAGCAGCTGCCTTCTTTGCCGTCTACCTCCCTTGCTGGAAGAACGTGTCCTGATTCGAAATGGATTAGATTTAAATTAAAGAGTAAAACCGTGACCATAGAAATTCAGCAGGCTGGCTTTTTCTCTCAGCAGTTCCCTCATTCAGTAGGGTTGTGCTTTAGAAGACTAAGAAATGGGTGTTTGGGGCTTCCCTGGTGGTGCAGTGGTTGGGAGTCCGCCTGCCGATGCAGGGGACGCGGGTTCGTGCCCCGGTCTGGGAGGATCCCACATGCCGCGGAGCGGCTGGGCCCGTGAGCCATGGCCGCTGGGCCTGCACGTCCGGAG